TCTTACTTTTAGTATATAACTTAATTGTTATAGCAAAAATACGTTTGCATAATCGAAACTCGGATTAAAATAGTGTGATATGGAAAAAGGCATATACTTCCTTTGGATTCACATCTGCCTTGTTACCAAGGCAAATCCTGGTAATGTGACCTAGTCCTTAACATGTCGAGTTCACATTCTGCATTGGCACGGTTTGACTCCCCCTAGGGGTATTGATAAGATCTATAAAAGGTCGAAACTGCAGTAAAAACTAGATGAGAACAAATTTTGGGAGAGCAAAGCAATGTGAAATTTACTGGAAACGTCAGCACTACTCATATGAGTGTGGATAAATTCTACAACCAGTCCTTAATCATCTTAAACGAAATAGCGTGAATATATCTCATTAAATTGTATTCACATAAAGTTGTTTAAAAATACGTTATATTGTACTAAAATAAACTTGTCTATAGTAGTATAAGGCTAAGTAAACAAATATTCATTATAGTGATAAGTTTAATTTGATTTAAAAATTTTAATTTATTACATTTAATTAATATTTAATTTACGATTATTCATAATAATTGAGGCAACTACAAAAACTACATATGTTGGGGTAATATATAATTTTAGGTTTTAAAATATAGCAAAAAATTTAAATATCACATTTTTACCACTTATAATACTTTTTTCATTTGGTTGTTATGGTGATCTATAGAAAACTTTATGAAAGGCGATGACTTCTTATAATAAAGCCACATTAGGCCCTTTACCACCTGTAGCAAAAATAAGGAAGATCGTACACAACAAAGAGCAAAATGAAAGACTGCAATGTATACTTGAATATTCATTGGCAAAAGATAAAGAAGCAAGGATCCAACGTTTATTGTAACCTTTTGATATTTTTACTATCTCCTAGATATGAACGCCGCAAGCAGACTGAAATGCTATTAGGTGCTCAGTATGTTGATGCAGCTTACGCTTCTCAAGCTCCTCCATATCCTGAATCGGTATTCATAATTGTATTTTAACCACGTAATTAGATGATGAGCAGTGAGAGGAAAACGAGAGTATTTTTCTTGGTTACCTTTTTATATTAGATAAACTATGATGTACTTAAAACCTTCATTGAAAGTAGCCCTGTTCCAGAAATTCTTGATGTATGGTTGGACAACATCATGGAAAAAATTCCTAAAAAGCTCAAATGTGGCAAAGAGACGGGACTGAACAAGGTTCTAGAGGAAGTGCGACAAAATTTTTTACAAAGTATGAAAAAGTCTCATGTGCAACTATCACTGAGAACACTTGAGATCTCACCTA